GTTTGGACCTAAACGTTTAGGGTTTCGGGTTGAGGGTTTAGACCTAAACTCAATTCAACTGCCTGCTTCCGAAATACTTCATCTTTCCAGGGACTGAGGGGCTTCTTTCACAAAGTCCTGATTTTTAGAGAATGCTGGGGTACCGTGCGCAAAGATGTGGCCGACTCCAGCAATAATTATGCACAGATGGCAGACACGACCCCTTGAGGGTCCAGGGTACCGGGTACCAGACAGTTGCTGAGAGAAAGTCCACAACAGTCGCAGATTCAAAAAATGAGGTACCACTTCCTGGCGCCATCTAGACGTTTGAGGTACCAGGCAAGTTGTGGGCCTACCCGAACGACCTGGGTCGGCTTTCGCCATCGAGGTCCCCCCATTGTGGGGGGCGGCCTAAGCCCTGTGTTTAGGGTGTAAGGTTTAGGGTTGTTGTCGGGTTTAGGGTGTACGGGGTTGCTACAAGGTGTACGATCTGGGGCTATTAGGGGGTCTTTGGGTGCACCACACGTCGCCATTTCAACCCTACAACCCTGTAACCCTAAACCTTATCCCCAAACCCTCTAGCCCTATACTGTGAACCTTATAACCCTAAACCCTCTAGCCCTAAACCCTAAACCCTAAACCCTAAACCCTAAACCCTAAACCCCGAACCCGCAGGCTCTGGCCCGGCTCCAGGAGTCCTTGGCGGCTCTTGCCGCTGCCGAGACGTCAGGGCGCGTGGGCCCTACTTGAGAAGGTGCAATTTGGGTAGTTCTAAGTAGGGTTTAGGGTTTAGGGTTTAGGGTTTAGGGTTTAGGGTTTAGGAATTGGGGCTTAGGGTTTAGGGTTTTAAGAGCGGCGGAGGGCTCCGGGATCTTGGGTTCTGGGTTTTCGTCAGGGGGTTTTAGGGTCTATTGTTCAAGGTTTTGGGTTTTCCTGAATCTGGGGTTCTGTTTTTTTGGGGGGGATTTTAGGGCTTAAGGTGTAAGGTTTAGGGTTTTCCTGAATCTTGGGTTCTGGGTTCTTTTTGGAGCTTGGTAGGGCTTAGGGGTCCTGGTTAATCGGCTAGGACCCAGTTTAGGGCCAAGGTAGGGCTTCGCGGACTCTAGGAGACCCTGGGCACAGCGCTAAAGCTTTCCGGCCCAGACAAAACTTCCGGTTGCCAGCATCCAGGCCAGACCGTGCTGTCGCTCACCGGCCGGCGTGGTCGGGGCAAGTCCTCCGTTGCAGGCTCATACGCGAGATTAGGCTTATGGAAGTGTTTTGAGGTTAGGGTTTGGATGCATCGCTCAGAGGATGTAGTTTTCAGGGTTGAGGGCTTAGGGCCCGCTATGATTTCCTTTATGGTCCACGGTGACTTCTAATCTCAGCAAACAAAGATGGCCGCCACGCTTTAGTCCCAGGTGGCTGCGAATCTAGCCGAGTGGTGCTAGTGCCATCACGCTTGCTTACCTGTCACCAGGTCTGCAGTTGTTACATTCTATAGCAGAGAATAATATCTTATGAAGCAAAGCAATTCCTCAAACTTAGAGGAGTACCAAGAGGTTTTCTTGATGCTTGAGGCTGTGGGAGGGTCATGACCCACGTTGTGCGGAACCCTAGACCCTGAACTCTACAAACCTTCCTGGTGTAGTATACTATAACCCCCCCTGAACCAAGAAAACAACATTGGAGCCTTCAGGTACCGAGAGGAACGAACCCATCTACATACAACGAAAATGTGAGCATGTACCTTCAATATGTATGTGCCCATGTAACAGCTAAACCCTAAACCCTAAACACTAGACCCTAAACCCTCAACCCCAAACCCTAAACCCTAAACCCTAAACCCTAATGATAGTCGTAGCGGAAGATGCTGCAGGGCTCTTCGTGGCCGCGGCTTTGCGCAGCGGTCGGGGTGTGGTGGTGACCGGCCCGGCGCTGGCGAGCGCCCGGGACTGTTTAGGGTTTAGGGTTTATAAAGAGTAGGGTTTAGGGTTTAGTGTTTAGGGTTTAGGGTTAACAAAAGGTTTAAGGTCAGGGTTTAGGGTTTAACAAGTTCAGGGTTTAGGGTTCTGGGTTTAATTTTTTTAGGGAGCTGAAGGTTTCGGGTTTAACAATTTCAGGGTTTAGGGTTCCGGGTTTAAGACTTCAGGGTTTAGGGTTTACAGTTTAGGGTTTAGGGTCTACGGTTTCGGGGTTCAGGGTTTAAAGTTTCGGTTTCGGGGCTCAGGTTTACAGAGTGCGAAGTTCCGGGCACGGGGTGTTCTATAGGCCCTCAAACCCTTCTTTGAGGGTGAGACTCTCTAGAATTCAATCAGGAAGGGTTTAGTTTAGGGTTTAGGGTTTAGGGTTTAGGGTTGGAACTTAGGCGAAGAAGACTCCAATATGTTTGGGTATGTTCAAGTGTGCAGTGATTGAGAATTGGGACGGCTGGTACAGCGCCCCATTCCTGAACTTCTGCTGAAAAAGCGCCTGCGCGCCCAAAAAACTCAAGCCCACGCCAGACCTCACAGAACTCGGAGCCACCCTGTCTGTAGCTCCACTTAACGGCAGTAGCAGTTGAATAGAGCCACGTAACTAGGTAAACAGGGCCTGAACACAACGCCCTGAAACTCAACCATAAAACCCTACACCCTCTAAACCCCAAAACCAAATCCCGAAACCCTACGACTCCGCACCCTAAACCCTAAACCCTAAACCCTAAACCCTAAACCCTTAACCCTTAAACCCTAAACCCTCAAACCCTCAACCCTAAACCCCAGGCGTTCAGGGCATCTTCCGCTTCGCGGCACAGGCTCTTGGTCTGCCTGCGGTGGAGGCCCCATCTTGGGGGGGGGGCCCTCTGAGGGTTTTTGCCAGGGTCTTCTTGGAGACTCATGTAGGGTTTAAAGGGTTTAGGGTTTGGGGTTTGGAGTTTAGGGTTTAGGGCTACTTGGAGGCGCGTGGGTAGTTCTAAGTAGGGGTGTAAGTACCTTAAGTAAGGTTGTAAGACAAGTGGCCCTACGTATCCTTCTCATAGCTAGCCCTGAACCTCCAAACAAAGGGTTTAGGGTTTGTCGTGTTTGGGGCCTAGAAGGGTCCACTAAGACGTTTTCATGAACCCTTATAGATGGGAAAAGGGGCAGTGGGAGGTGGATGGTTGAGGGATAAATGGGGGCTTGGTGAGCGCTTTGTGCGTCGAGATAATGCGATTCAGAGCAGGCTGTCGCTGTTGAGCTTCTCCCGCGAACTCTACTTAACTCCAAGCCCTTAAACCGAAGCCCGTCCCAAACACTTTGTAGAGCACTCTAAACCCTAAACTCTAAACAATAAACCGCTTAAGAACATAGGTTCTGCTCTCTTTGGACTCCTCAGCCGGTCATTTCTACACCTTGTCAACCCTAAATTGCCCTCAGCCCGACGCACAAGCAGGTCCCTAAGCCCCAAAACATGTCAACCCGAAGCCCGCAAAAGCCTAAGATCTCTACGTTGTATAGACCATAAGATGGCCCTAAAGCTATATAAACCATAAGACGGCCCTAAGGCCTAAACCCTAAGAACGCCCTTCAACGTGTAGAGTGAACAGCCCATCTCGGCGGAGGTGCCCTGTGCAAGCCTGTGCCACTCGCGGGCGCGGTACCTGCCGGCGGAGCCTTCCCAAGCAGAGTCTGCGGGAGCAGGGTTTAGGGCTTAAAGGGTTTAGGGTGGTTTAGGGTGGTTTAGGGTTTAGGACTTAGGGTTTAGGGTTTAGGGGGGGTGAAAGGGTGCTTGGGAGGGTGCGGGGGTCCACACAGCCATGTAGGGGTTGAGGATGGGGATTCGAAGCCCTTGTCTGGGGCAAGCTTCTTGAGAAGGTTACCTGCACCAAGCCCGACACATGTCGGGCCAAGCCTAGGGCTAAAATAGCATCCTGAATGATTATATATATATATACATATATAGACTGAATCAACGACCTGAGCCTAATGGATCTTCTGATTAAAATCAGGCCCCGATATTTCCTTTTGCGGATCATCTCTGATCCAGTTTGTACCCTGCTCCGCCTGTCAAGCAGCACCTCAAACCGACAAAAGACTATAGGGGAGAATGTATTCTCGTCGTATAGTAGAATAGTGCAATATATTATTGTTTATTGTGGTCTATTACAGTATAGATTAGTGTATCTTAGTAGATTTTTGATCTGCTTGTGCATTATCGAAAGTTGTCGAAAGCTTCTTTAGGTTTAGGTCTCCCCGAACGTGGGCCATACATTCATGAAGATCAACTTCAAGTCAACCCCAACCTGGGTGGCCAAACTAAACGGGGTTTATGGTTCAGGGTTCGGGACTACTCGGAGGTTCATGGGCAGTTATAGGTGGGCTCTTAGTAGGGCAACTACATTCATGGCGGGTTATAACCTTATCAAGGGTACTTCAACCCTATTCTTAACTACCCATGAACCTTCAAGTAGTGTTCAGGGTCGGGTTGATTTTTTGACTCGCCAGATTCTTGCCTCGAAGGTTTACAGCAACAAGTAGGGTTATACGTACCCAGAGTAAGGTCAGAACTTGTCATGACTCTTCTTGTTGTTGCCTCTACTTGCATCCCCGCGCATATCCACCCATGAAACCCCCAAGTACTTGAAGGTTCATGGGTAGTTATAAGGTAGAGTTATACGTACCCGAAAGAAGGTCATACCCATCTACAATTATACTTACCCTACTTAGAACCCCACTTCTAACTACCCGTGAACCTCCTGTGGCCCTAAATCCTAAACCCTAAACCCCAAGCCTTCTACCCTAAAACCCATGAACTTCCCAAGTAAGGACTGCATCAAGGGTTTTGCTGCTGCTTTGGCTTCCGTCGGCGACGCCCCTGTCTTGGCCTCGGGGTCCTGGGATGTATAGCGCTTGGGCCGGGGTGTCGGGCTTCAGGAGCCCTTCCGGGTTTGAAAGGTTAGTTAAAACAGTAGGCTTATTATTATCATTATTATTGTTATTGTGATGATTATTAGTATAGTGATATATATGGTATATGTATATGCTAATTACATACAAAGCTTTTATGTAAGCTAGCTGGATGCCATGGTTTTGTTGATTCCGTCGGCGGTAGGCTTCCTTTAAATCCGAGATTTAGGCTTCGGGTACTTACAAGTAGGTTTGTGAGCATAGTAGCTGTCTCTTTATCCCTAATAAAGGATAGAGCCGGCCGTACATTGCATGGCTTTGGATGTTCCCCGTTAGACTAAAAGTTCCTTAATTGGGATTATGGTACCCCCTTTTACAATCCCTATTCAGGACTGTGAGTATAAGGGGGAACATCCCACTGTGTGGCATTGTAATTGCCCATGAAGCTGCAGGTAAGATGGATCTCATTTTTGCAGAGTCCTGTCCTGTAAGTTCAAGCTCCGCCGGCTGAACTGTCCGGAAGCCCGTGCATGTAGAGATTTTTGGTCTTGTGGGTTTAGGGTTTAGGGTTTATGGTCCCTGGTAGCTACAATTCAAGCTGAAGCGGGAAAGCTTGGGTGAGGGGGGGGGGAGGGGGGGTGGGCAACGGCCACAAACCCTCAACCCTATGAACACCATGAATCCTATGAACCCTAATGGACTGTATGAATCCTATCAACCCTGTGAACCCCATGAACCCCATGAGCCCTAAACCCTAAACCCGAAGCCCTGAACCCTCAACCCTAAACCCGAAACCCGAAACCCTAAACCCAAAACCCTAAACCCTAAACCCTAAACCCTAAACCCTAAAACCTAAACCCTAAACCCTAGCCCTACACCCTAAATTATCCTTATGAACCCTAAACCCTATGAAACCTGTGAACCCCAAACCCTGTCAAGTCGGCCTCCTTGAGGGGCCCACAGCTCCAGGTGCTTGTCGTCGACGAGATGGCCTCCCTCCCCATCCCGGAGCTGCACCAGCTGCCCAGCCCGCTGTAGGGTTTAGGGTTTAGGGCTTAGGGCTTAGGTCTTAGTGCTTAGGGGTTTAGACCATCCCGCGAAGTGATGGGCTTGGGCGTTCAAAGGGCTCGTGGAGGTTCATGGATAGTTATAAACAGGTTTGTAAGTAGGATGACTCTCGCTATGACTTAGACCCCTACTTCGCACTACCCATGAGCCTCCAAGTACAAGGCCTGGGCCATAAGGAGCCCAGAAATGAAGCCCCCCGACCCCCCCAATATGGTACCTGAAGGTTCGTGTGGGTAGTTATGAGTAGGGTTATAAGTATCCTAAAGAGCCCCCACTTACAACTGCCCATGAACCTTCAAGTAGGGCAAGATGGCGTGGAAGGCTCTTTCTCCTATCTTTGTCATAGTGGGATAACATTTTACATCTTTAAGGGTACCTAAACTCAATAAGAATAAAAATTTTCAATTTTTATTACTATCCCAACTATGAACCAGCTATCGGGAGCCCGATAAAACCTTACGCCTCAAGCTGGCAAGCCCGAGGCTGCTAGTGTCACGTGTGCCGCTGATCCTGTGACGCGGCATGCCATTTAAGGAGCTTCCGGCGGGCTTCGGGGATATTTGGGGGGGTTTAGGGTTTAGGGTTTAGGGTTTAGGGTTTAGGGTTTAGGGTTTAGGGTTTCGGGGGATATGAAAAGAGTTTATGTCCCTCCCAACCATCCTCCAGCCGAAACTGCAAAGCAAAAGTGTGTAGCTTTCATGGAACCCTAAACCCAAACCCTAAACCCCAAGCCCTAAACTCGAATCCCTGAACCCAAAACCCTAAACTACACCTTAAACTACATAGGGGGTTTCTGGGTTCCAGCCAGGGCTCTGAGGGACCGCCCATCCTTAGTGATCTGCTAAGGTCTAGGGTTTGGGGTTTAGGGTTTGGGGTTTGGGGTTTGGGATTTAGGGTGTGGGGTTTAGGGTGAAGGCTCGTGGGTGCTTGGGGTATGAAACAGCAGGTTCACTGCTTGCATCTACACCGAGGCAATGTACGCATAAGCCCCAACGAGACCTATCGATTCATGAAGAGGCATTTTTGTAGATCACTTCAAAAAATAACAGCACACCCAGACCTGCCCCAAGAGTGCCTAAGCCCGAAACCCTGAAGCCTAAACCCTAAACCCTACACCCTGGGAGCCTGGCTTCCTATACCCCGGAAATAGATAGGCCCAACGAATTATGCGCTGAGTTATCTTCCCTACTGCTGGGTACGCGTCGCGTATTTCTTGGGATGTTCCCCTTTATACGAACAGTCCTTATTCGGGATTGTCATAGGGGTACTATGATCCCTATTAAATATCAAGGACTGTTGGAACACCCCAACGTGTTTCTCAAGAAACTGTCTGTGTTTTGCTTGTCCGTCCCAGCTTTAGTGTCCCAAGCCAGCACATGATTGAAACAAACAACCCACCGACCAAACCCTAAACCCTAAACCCTAAACCCTACACCCTAGCAGGTAATGCACCTTAGCTCCCAGCAAGATGCCTTTTCCACTTTTTCTTCAGGTCTACTCCCCACAATCAATTACAATTAGTTCAAAACCCTAAAACCCCAAAACCCCTAAACCCCTAAACCCGCAAACCCCTAAACCCTAAGCCCCAAAACCTAAAACCCAAATAAACCCTAAACCCCTAAACCCCTTAACCCCAATAACCCCTAAACCGGCAAGATGCTGTGCTCCCTCGAAACTCGTTTGGTCCAAGGCTTCTGGGCACGCTCTCGGGCGCAGAGGGCACCGGGGCTGCTGTGCAGGAGACGCTCGGCCGAACGGCCAATCAAAGAGGTTTAGGGGTTAGGGTTAGGGTTTAGGGTTTACAGGGTTTGCAGGGTTTGCAGGGTTTACAGGGTTTACAGGGTTTACAGGGTTTACAGGGTTTACAGGGTTTACAGGGTTTACAGTGTTTACAGGGTTTACAGGGTTTACAGGGTTTAGAGGGTTTACAGGGTTTAGGGTTTAGGGTGTAGGATAAGTACCCTTGAGGATACTCTACTGGTATGGCCGCATGGCCGACCCTCCGTCGCCCGTTTAGGTCCCTCTCAGGATAAGGCCTGAAGTACGGCTTTCACTGTTCAGGAAGCTTTTGTTTTGGAGGTCTAGCGCTTTTGCAAAATAGCATGTGTTGTATACATATATATATACACATATACATATATCTATACAGATATTATGCAGGCATTCAACTTTATTTTGCGGCATGTTGAGCCTACTTGGAGGTTCATGGGCAGCTGGAAATAGCGTTGTGAGTAGGACAACTCTAGCTGCAACCTATTTAGGGTACGTACAGCATACTTCAAACTACCCATGAGCCTCCAGATAGCCCTAAACCCCAAGCCCCAAACCCTAAACCCCAAACCCTAAACCCCAAACCCTAAACCCTAAACCCTTCAAATATGTCCCAAACGTGGCAGCCAAGTGTAAGGAAGGTCTTCAAGGAGCTGGGCGCGGATTCGGCCGAGGCATCTTTTAGAGTTTTGGGGTTTAGGGTTTAGGGTTTGGGGTTTAGGGTTTGGGGTGTAGGGTTTTGGGTTTAGGGTTTAGGGATAGGGTTCAGGGTTTAGGGTCTAAGGTTAGGCCACTATAGGCTTTACTTAGTGTTGGGGAGCACGGACCACATGCGGGAAATGCCACTGAGGCTTCCTCCTTTCTCGACGTGACAGGGCTATAAGTTTTTTTGGGTTGAAAGAATGAATCACCACTCTGGAACGTTTACGGCCTTAGGGGCAGAAACCCTAAACCCTAAACCCTAAGCCCTAAGCCGGCATCATGGTATCCTGTGGTCTCGCCTCGAAGCTGACGCACACTGTACATGGACAGGTCTGCCGTCACGCAACGCTCCCCGAAGGCATCGCCGAGCGGGAGTTCGTAAAGCTGTCCCTGCAGGAGACGGGAAGAGAGAGGGAGGGAGGGAGGGAGGGAGGGAGGGAGAGAGAGAGATGAACAACAGCACGACAAACATGTCCAACAAGGGAAGCAGGCAGAACAAGAAAGAGAAAGAGAAAGAGAGAGAGAGAGAGGAGTAGGCCTAAAGCATGATGTAGGGGAAATCTTTTGTAGTAGAAGAAGAAGAAGAAGAAGGAGTGAGAGAGAGAGAGAGGGGAAGGGGAAGAGGGGCGGGTGGGGGGGGGGGGGGGGGGGGACAACGGGGGTTTGGGGGACGGAGAGTTGAAGGGAGGTGCAAGACTAACAAGGGGGCGGGGGAGGTTGACTATGACAAGCTAGGGGCGGGGTCCTGGGGCAAGAAAGCCGTGAGAGTGGAAGTTTTGTGGTGTTTGAAAAGCTTGGCCCTGGAGGAAGATCCAGGAAGGGATGGATTTGTTGCTCACTTTGCAGGTTCAAGGGCGTTGAAAGCCGAGGATCCCGAAGCCAGTATCTGTCTGCACGACTGCGTGGCTCCCAGGGATTCTGGGCGCAGCCCCGAAAGCACCTTGCCAAGATTCACCTTGAGCCTACTTGAAGGTTCATGGGTCGTTCTACCTGGCTTGTAAGTGCCCTTGAATTATGATTATAACCGGTTATAGTTCTCAATTAAAACCTCACTTGCATCTACCCATGAACCTCCCAGCAGGACTCACCCGGAGCACTCTTCTTCACTTTGCTTTCTGGCCAGACTCCATTCACAAGAATCGGGTTTTGGCGGGTTAGTATAGCATAATTTTTCAGGGAACCAAAAAGGGTAATATTCGTACTTATTCCTGCCCCCTATATTAACATCAAACAGGTTCCCTATCTCCTTCTTGAGTGATCCTAAACCCTAAACCCTGAACCCTGCACCCTAAACCCTCAACCCTAAACCCTAAACCCTAAACCCAAACCCCATTTGAAACAGGAGGCCGTCCGCTACAAGCCCGGAGATCCCGTCGAATCCTGGCTCGACTCCCTGCTCTTCCTGGACGTCGTGGGAGTCGGGTCTAGGGTACCCTAAACCCTAAACCCTAAACCCTAAACCCTAAACCCTAAACCCTAAACCCTAAACCCTAAACCCTAAACCCTAAACCCTAAACCCTAAACCCTAAACCCTAAACCCTAATTAAACCTAAGCCCTAAACCCTAAAATCCTAAGCCCTAAGCCCTAAACCCCTTGAATTGGCTTTTGGACCTGGGGCTCATGGCTCTTCTGAGGGTTTTGGCCTCAACACTCTGAACTGGCATCCCTTACATCCCTTACATGGCCTCCACAACGCAAAGCCCGCACTAGTTAGTCACTAGTCACCTACTTAGTTGCCCTCAACTCTAAAGTACTCTAAGGATACCCCAAAGTCCCTAATAACTAGCCCCCCAGCCCCCCAAGCCACCATGCGGACTTTGCTGCTTCGTGCTGAAGCACGTGGTTGTGGATGACAAATCCTATTCCCCTATCACTAAAAACCTCCCTGATTTCAAAAACGGTTTTTCCCCGACCCACCCCGGCGCCCAGCCCAATACTAGAACTGTTTGAAAATTCAACAGGCGGGGGGGGGGGTGAGGTGAGCCTTCCCAAGTTAAATTTCAACTAGGGTTTAGGGCTTAGGGCTCTGGGCTTTGAGGGGCGCCAGCCCTTGATCTCAGCCTTTGGTTCTTAGGGATTTAGGGTTTCGGGTTCAGGGTTTAGAATTTATAGGGGCGACAAGTCGCAATCACCAGCACATGTCTCACGCCTTCGGCTTTGGCGGCAAGTTTTTGGTTTCGGGAATCTCTTACTTCAGGGTTCAGGGTTCAAGCGGAACCGGACCCCAACAAACATTTAACTCACCTAATTTAAGAATTTCCCGGCCGATCTGAATTTTAGATATGCCGGGGGGGGGGGGAAGGGATTAATGTTAAGAACTGTTTTTGATAATTAAGCTGATTTATTTTGAGTTGTTTTGAAGTACTAGTTACTAGCTTTTGTCTGATATCCTTTGTTCATTACCATGCGTGCTCAGGTCGGGGTTAATGGCTTTTGACCGTCTGCCCTGGAGGGCACTGCTAGTCCTGAATGCCTCTCCCTAGCTTTGGAGTTCTCAGAACTTCTATGACACCTTGCAGCCGAACCGTGAAGCCCTGACAGCCTTGAGCCCTTGAGCCCTTGAGCCCAGTCTACGACCCCATTTAGGGTTTAGGGTTTAGGGTTTAGGGTTTAGGGTTTAGGGTTTAGGGTTTAGGGTTTAGGGTTTAGGGGGGTTATGGTCTTCCATGGCTTTCCTACATGTTTCATGGTATTTCGCCTTGGACCCCTCTGGCTGTGTCCTTGGGTTTGGAGACCCTCTTTTAAGAGCCGTGTGAGGGAAAATAAGAGCCATGTCAGTAGCATAGTCAGGGAGACCTTGAGGGGTTTAGGGTTTAGGGTTTAGGGTTTAGGGTTTAGGGTTTAGGGTTTAGGGTTTAGGGTTTAGGGTTTAGGGTTGGGTACAACCTTAGGGGTACGAGTTTTAATCCCTTGAGTTTGTTGGACCCCAAAACTCGTTCTGGCTGTTAGGGGGTTACTTGAGCCCGCACAGATTTTCATGAAAAGCCTTCCCAAGCCCAATAAAACCTTACGACACCCTACTATGCTTTTTCATCTACTCCTACAACATTCCTAAGGGTCCTACCCCAAACCCTATACCCTAAACCCTTGCCCTAAACCCTAAACCCTAAACCCTAAACCCTAAACCCTAAACCCTAAACCCTAAACCCTAAACCCTAAACCCTAAACCCTAAGCCCTTTCTTCCACAAGGGGTTCCCCGGAACACAATGCAGGACATGCCGCAGCCGCCAAGCGACCCCAAGGATTACGGCAGTCTCAGGCGACCTTCTGGCAACAAAAGGGTTTAGGGTTTAGGGTTTAGGGTTTAGGGTTTAGGGTTTAGGGTTTAGGGTTTAGGGTTTAGGGTTTAGGGTTTAGGGTTTAGGGTTTAGGGTTTAGGGTTTAGGGTTTAGGAAGTCTGGCAACAAAAGAGGACCCTTCTTAAGGTTGTACCCTTTGGTTTTGGGGACCCTTTTTAAAAATCCCTAAGGGAATATAAGGGTCATTTTAGGAGTATACTAAGGGGAACCTTTAAGGGTACAACCTTAGGGTACGAGTCTTCATCCCTCAATTCTTGTTAGAGTCTGTTAGAGTTCGGACGTGGTGGCGTAGCCTAAAACCTGGACGAAGACCAACACTCCTGGCCTGCACTCCTGAAGCGACTTCCGGGGAAAAACGCTCTCAATCCCGAAGCGCTTTATTCTAGAAAGCCCCAAAACCCACCCTAACGCTCTTAGAATCCTACAGCCCTTAACCCTTAGACCCTAATGCCCTCCAAAAATCCAAACCCGAAAGATCCCCTAAACCCTAAACCCTAAGCTGCACTCAAGCCCTAAACCCTAAACCCTAAACCCCCCTGAAAGCCCTGAGCCGAATCCTGGCGCAGGGCCGCCCGGTTCGTGGAGGTCGACGCTGCGAGGAGCACCGACCCTCTCGTGCCAGCAGCTCTCGGGCTGGAAGGGGTTTGGGGTTTAGGGTTTAGGGTTTAGGGTTTAGGGTTTAGGGTTTAGGGGATCCACAAAAAAATTTCCGAAAATAGGGGTGCCCTCTCTGGGGGTCACGTTCTTGCGATTCTATTCTACTTGGGACAGAAAAGGGGCGACCGATTTGGGAAATGTATGAGAATAGGTTTAACAAAGGTTGGAGCTCCTGGGTGCAGGGTTGTTGTTTAAGGTTGTGCGGTTTTGGGGCTAAGGGTCAAGCGGGGGTAGGTTTTTGCGGGGGAGGGTTGTCGGAATTGCCGGGACGTATGTAACTTGATGGGATTGCTTATTCGGCTGATGACTCTTCATCTGTAGACATGTGAACACATGGCGCGGCCTAGTTCGCGCGGTTTTTGGTCGCTTACATTGATATGAAATCGGGGTTGTGAGGGTTTAAGGCTCATAAGTTGGGATGTCCCCCGTTATACTAACAGTCCTTAATAGGGATTATTATAGGGGGTACTATAATCCCTATCAAGGACTGTTAGGTTACGGGGGAACATCCCAATTCATCAGGCAGTAGGGGAGGGGGTATGCCTCTCGGTAGTCTTTGCTCGTCCCTTGCTTGAGTTCTTTGTCCTTGGAGTGCAAAACCTGAAATATCAGAGTCGTAGATCGAAGCCTCCTCTGGGCAAGAGATTTAGGGTTCAGAGGTTTTAAAGGCCTTCCCATCCAGTTGTGTTTCAGACCCGGGCCTCTTCAATGCTACCGTAGTATTCAGGCCATGAGCCAACGAACAAATCGCTTCTGATAAGGTGTTGAGTCCAGGGTTTAGGGTTTAGGGTTTAGGGATATGGAGTTCGTCTTGCAAACGCTTCTTCGACAACCCAGGTCATGGGCCTCTTGCGCGGGCACTATCGGACATCCCCGAACGACCTCACCAGGCATGGACCTGTAAACCCTAAAGACTTAGGGCTTCAGGTTTAGGGTTTGGGGTTTAGGGTTCAGGGTTTAGGGCTAGTAGGTCAGGGAACTCCAAGCCCTGCCACAATGTTTTGGCCTGCCCTCAAAACCGCAACTGCCAGACCCAAAGCCTGGGTGTTAAGGTTCGTTGGAGTTCCACTTCTCTTAGTAGCCCAGTGGTACCCTGTTCCCTTTTTTGGTCTAAGGCTCCCTCATACAGTAACCAACCCAAAAAGGGTACCTTTATTCAGAAGGGTACTGGGCTACTAAGTCTTAAAGCCTATCAACCCAGTGCTGGGTCACATTTTTCCAGTCTTCAGAGATCCGTTCTTCTGATTCCCGACCCCTCCTTACCCAAAAATCCCGGTTTAGGGTTTAGGTTTAGGGATTAGGGTTTAGGGTTGAGGGTTTAGGGTTTCCGAAACTTTTGAAACCCAAAAGCCCTCCGGTCCAAAGACACCCAATTCTAGAGCCCTATATCGAGTCCAAATCCCAAAACCTTCGACTGCCCAGAGATACCAAAACCCCCTTAGCTAAGGAAGATTCCTGAAGCCATATAAGGAACCCTCTTAATTTGTTAAGGAATATTGCTCAATCAAAGGGGTATTGGAGTCCTAGGGTGATTGTGACGCACGTCACCGACCCCCATATTCGGACCCTAAACCCTCAACCCTCAACCCTCAACCCTGAACCCTCAACCCTCAACCCTAAACCCTAAGCCCAAAACCCCCACACCTTCGACTGATTGGGAGGCTCGTCACCGACCCCCACATTCGGACCTTCGCATTGGTCGCCAAAGAGAACCAGGGCCCTCCCGCAGTGGTGGTGGTGGCCATCGAGGAGGGGAGATTTTCGGTTGAGGGTTTTGGGTGTAGGGTTTAGGGTTTAGGGTTTTGGGTGTAGGGTTTAGGGTTTAGGGTTTAGGGTTGTAGGGTTGTAGGGTTGTAGGGTGGTTAAGGGCTCGGGGGCTTACTTCTGGGCTAAGGCTGTTGGGGGCTCTAAAGGGCTTAGGGATTTAGGACACCTTCTAAACTAGGGTCCTGCTTCCCACCAGAGATCACTAGAGTATGGTACGAGAGTTTTTAGTTGCAGTGTACCAAATCTGATCTTCAACTATGGGTTGTTGGTTTAGCACGGGAAGGTTGAGACTTTCTCGGGATAGCTTGAGATGTTACCCCGTATACTAACAGCTCCTTACTAGGGATCACAACAGGGGGTACTATAATCCCTATCAAGCAGCTGTTAGTTTCAGGGAGAACATCCAGGAACCCCTAAACCCTAAACCCCTCTAGGCTGGTCTGCCATGTGCAGGAGACGCCAGAGCGATTGGGCCAGTCCGGTGCCAAAGTGCACCAGACGCACTTGCTCGCCAACGGCCCAAGCCTGAGCATGCGCGCCCAAGAAAGGCTTTAGGGGTTTAGGGGTTTAGGGTTTAGGGTTTAGGGGTTTAGGCGTTTCGGGTTTAGGGTTTAGGGCTGTAGGGTTTAGGGGTTGAGGCTAGGAGGCTCATCTTTGTTAGATGATCGCTTCTACTGTATACACTTTCATGAGGGATATCGGGGGTTTAGTAGGACGCTGTTGTTATACAGTATTTGGTTACAGCGTTATTTCGGATACTTCTCACCCTACTTCAACAATCGTTCGCATTTTTTCAGGGCTTGGAGGCTTGAGGGATCCAGGGCTTCAGGGCTCGGTGACTTGAATGTCAGAAGCAACTACCACAAGGAGTCCATGAACCCATCGAGTATATACTTGCCCCTGAAAGGGGTTCTGTATAGTAGCTTTAGGACCCAAGTATACACTATGTAGGTGCATGGACGCTAAGGGCACACGCAAGCCCATGAAAGATGGACAAGCCGTGCGCATCTGGAGCTCTCAACAGATTCCTGGGAATGGTGGGCAGTCCTGTAAAGGGTGATGCGTAGGCGGATACATGATGCCACTTAGTCTCCTTGAATTCCTTACCAAGAACTAGTAAGACAGACCTCAAGCACACCTCAAACTCTGAAGCCCTCAATCCACAAAAAGCCCCAATGAGCCCTGCAAAGGCATTTTGACAAGGCTCTCAGTTCCTCTCATCGCTTGTACAGTGCTTAGATCACTCCGAGCACCCTTGTATGACCCACATACCCCTGAATTATAGACGTCATATACAAGGCAGGCGCCCTACCTGCGAGCCCCCTCCTGAAATTCTCCTGAACGTAACGAGCTTGAGACACCGAAGCCTATACTCATCGCTTCCCCTGACCCAAAAGATTCAGACCGGAAGACCCTAAATCCGAAACCTTAGTCCGTCTCTGTCGAAGGCATGTGCAAATCGCAAGCCCTCCTAGATTTTGAAACTCATTTCAAGGCATAGAGAAATCCTCGACCTTAAGACCCCCCAAAAGCCCAAAACGTGAAGGCCCGATACCTCACGTAGCCCCGAAATATCCCTGAGCCTCCAAAACCCCGAGCCCTGCTTCTCAAGCCATCACAATAATCTAAACCCCTCAAGCCCTAAGACCAAGGCGTGGAGAAAGGCTGCCCCAAAGCCCTAAGCGTCAAACCATTGCCTCAAAACCCCTAAGCCCTAAACTTAAGGCGTGGAGAAAGAGTACCCCTGCACCCTAAACCTCTAAGCTTTCAACCCCCGAAAGCCCTAAATGGGGTCCTATACCCAAGGCGTGGAGAAAGAGTACCCCTAAAACCTAAACCCTAAACCCTAAACCCTAAACCCAAGGCGTGGAGAAAGAGTACCCCTTCTTGGCCTTGGCACGCCTGCGCGGTTTGCGGCCTTGGCGAGTGGTGGCGGCACCCGCTGCCCGGGGCCAGGCCAAGCTTTCGGCTTTGGCATCGAGAGGTTGCGTTGAGGGTTTAGGGTTTAGGGTTTGGTTTCAACCCAAGGTCTATTTTGTTGGTGGTTGAGGGTTTAGGGTTTAGGCCCAAGGTTGATTTTTGTGGTGGTTGAGGGTTTAGGGTTTAGGTCCGCCCCGAGGTCCTTTTTGTTGGTGGGTGTCGGCTCATGAGGTTAAGGCTGTGCTTTTCTCCATCCGTGCATACTCAAACCTGTCCATCTACTCATTCTCAGATACATGGATCGATCTAGAAGTGGCCTTTGAACCTTTCCATGTTGAGAAGCAGTCAACCCTAAACCATAGACCCTAAACCCATGGAAGATTACATCCAACTGGACAGGGCTTCGGGCAGCGTGCCATCGAACTTCTGGCAGACTGGGCCAAAGGGCCGCTTTCCAGCTTAGCACGGTTTGGGGTTTGTAGTTTAGTGTTTAGAGTTTCGGGTTCAGGGTGGACCCGAAACCTGAGCCCCAAGTGGCCCACAGCTGTCACATCTGCCTCGGAAGGTGCGAATCTTCCTGCTTGAGGATGATCCTATTTTGAGAAAAGCTCTATATATCATGAGCAGGCTCCTATCCCTAAACCCTAAACCCTACGCCCTAACCCCCCCGCCCCCCCACCCCCCTCACCCCCCATGCTTTGACCCTCACCCTCCCACCCTCCTAGGCGCTGCGGCTAGCAGCCCCCGACCCTGCACAAAAGCCTTTTTTTTTTCCGGTCTTAGGGCCTCAAACCTCAGGAAGACGAGGAGAATGCCGATATGGGGCTTACGAAAATAGGGGACCCTTAATATAGACCGCCAAGTAGTAGGATTCCTTCTTAATAAGGAAAGGTTCCTCTAATTTTGGAACCACCCCCCCCCCCCCCCCCCCATATCTACTCGAAAACTCTAAAAAGCCTTCTAAAGATAATGAAGAACCCTGACAGGCTTAGGGTTTTAGATGTGTTTGGGGCTTAGGGCTTTGAGCTTGGGGCGATTCCATGCGTTTAGAATTGAGGCTTTAGGCTTTAGGCTTTAGGCTTTAGGCTTTAGGCTTTAGGCTTTAGGCTTTAGGCTTTAGGCTTTAGGCTTTAGGCTTTAGGCTGTAGGCTTTAGGCTTTAGGCTTTAGGCTTTAGATGCGTTTAGCGTTTAGCGTTTAGGCTTTAGGCTTGAGGCTTTAGGCTTTAGGCTTTAGGCTTTAGGCTTTAGGCTTTAGATGCGTTTAGCGTTTAGGCTTTAGGCTTGAGGCTTTAGGCTTTAGGCTTTAGGCTTTAGAGTCTCCCCAAACTGCGCCCAGGACCGGCAGCGACGGTTCCGGTGAACCCCGATTCGACTGGTTGGGGGTGTCCTTCGGCCACTTGCTGGAATAAACCCTAAACCCTAACCCCTAAACCCTAAACCCTAAACCCTAAACCCTCAAGCCCCCTGTAACTTGAAATTATTAAGAAAAATCCAAAAACGAAACTCCTCGAAACTTCCCCGGACCTGAACCCTTAATAATTTCAATAAACCCTAAACCCTAAACCCTACTTCTTATTCCGACCCCTACTGTATCTTGAGGTCTCTCTAGCTGCACGTGTCAAGATTCAAGCCCTGGACCAAATGACCCTGGACCCAAACACTGAAACCGCAACACCCCAAAAAAACCCAAAACTCTGAAACCCTGAGCCCATACCCCCCAAACCCACCCTAAACCCTAACACCGCCCTCATGGTCCCTTTATAAGTATACTAGAAAACCCGCGAACTCTATTCTAATTATTCAGGCCGCTACAGTATGCCCTTCATTAAGGACCTATGCCCTGGTTGAGAGTATTGACCCCTCTACACTGTAAGCTTTATGTCGGGATGGGTATGGGCCTAGTCTAGTCTTGTGGCTTCGCTGCTTCACGGTTCAGTTATAGCCTGGACCTGACTTACAAGTACCCGTCAGCTTTCAAGCGGGCTTTGTGTTCAGGTTTTCTTTAGGGCTTGGGAATTGGAGTTGGCTTGAGCTTTTGCACTTTGGAGGCTCAGTGCTTTGGATTTCGAGAGTTACTCCTGTTACTTTGAATGGTTTGCAGGGTTATGTGCAGGATTTCGGGAATGTAGGCTTCAGGCTTTAGGGTCTTGTGTATTCGCAAATTCCAAATTTGGGGTCTTAGCATTTCTGCTGACGGCGGTTGCTAGTTTCCCAAGTCTGAATTTTCCAGGATACCACAGAGGCTCACGCATCAACCCTCAACCCTAAACCCCTAAACCCCTAAACCCCTAAACCCCAAACCCCAAACCCCAGACCCTAAACCCTAAACCCTAAACCCTAAACCCTAAACCCTACCGCAGCCTGAGGCTTGACCGCGCAGCTGTTCCGCTTCTGGTCGCGGGCGGGCTACCGGCCCGTGGTCATGTCCAACACGCCCAACGACTCTGGGGCCATGAGGGGTTTAGGGTTTAGGGTTTAGGGTTTAGGGTGTAGGCCTGAGGGTATTAATTACTACCATTTGCTTCAGCACCAACCAAACAGTAGAAATATTCTTTTTCATAAGGGCAAAATAAGGGGGCGCCATGAAAGCTTGGGTGCTAAGGGATCATAGAAGCCACAGTTGAGGCAAGGTGGAGGAGTTGGGATCAAGCCGAGGGCAGCCTTGCGAGACGATGTGGAGTTTACCAAAAAAAGAGACCCCTAATGTAAAACCCAAATAGCAGGATTAGTTTCGAGAAGTGAGAGGTGGCTGTCGTCTGTACCAACTCACCCGAGTTTCGCAGCTTAGACCCTCTTGCTAGCCCATTGGTACTTCTCCCTGTTTTTGGTTCAAGGTTCCCTTCTAAAGCAACCAACCCCGCAAAAAGGAGGTGCCTTTATTCTCATATGGTTAACGGGCTACCAAGACCTATTCAATCCGGAAACCCAAGCTCCAAACTCTCAGAACGTCTGCAATCTCCTAAACCCTAAACCCCTAAACCCCTAAACCCCTAAACCCTAGACCCTAAACCCTAAACCCTAGAGTCCTAAGGACCAGACGGGAGAGATGTCGATGAAGATGCTGCTGCCAATTAGTGCCGCCCTGGCGCGGCTCGATCGGAACTTTGGGTTTAGGGTTTTAGGGCTCCAGGCTTTTGAGCGTTCTTGTGTGGTAGCGATAAGTAGGGTTATACGTACCCTAAATGAGGTTCTCGCCGGATATGAATGATAGTTACGCAGCTGATAAGACCTTCTGAGGGTAGTTCCATCGGCCCTGAATACGGTCCCTAAACTCCTTTGAAGGGTTCTGATGTATGGGCCCTGAAGGCCCTGAATTTGTATAGGGTATATTAAGGGGAATATAAGGGCTGCCCTTTTACGGGCCCATATTAAGGGACCATGCAACTACGCTTAGGGACCACTTTAAGCTACCCATGAACCTCTAAGTAGAGGAGTGAGACTGTAAGTCGTAAATCTGTTTGTCCCTGTGCCCCGTGCTAAACCTGCAACCCCCATTTTGGAATCCCTAAACCCTAAACTTTAACCCTCTAAGCCCGAAATGCTAAATCCTAAACTTCAAACCTCTAAGCCCTAAGCCTAATCCCTAAACAACTCTGAGCCTTGAACATTGACTTCGAGCTCTGCAGTGCCTGGGCCAGCGTAATCTCCTGGGGACTGGGTGTTTAAAGAGTCTGCATGCGTGTTTTTAGCTACAAGTCCATGTGAGTAAAGAGCAACTACACAGTGTATATGCGTGGGGTACGTTGGGGGCTTATAGGGTGCTTTTAAGTCTCGGCAAAATTGGAGGTTCATGGTGTTCCGGCTTGAGAATAATTCGCGGAGCACACGAGAATCCTTCACTGAACCCCCTCCTCCAAGCCCCTCCTAGCCCAAAGCCCATGAGGCATGTGTGGAAACCTTGGAAAAGGTCCAGATCCGGATTTACATTAAACAATCGAAAGGTCACAAGACGAAGTCCTTGAGCTGCACCCGGCATATATACATCCGCACGCCTCCCACGCAGAGGCGCGCGGTGCCCTCGGTGTTGCCTCTGTTTGGCACCTCCTTCTTTCGTCGGCTGCCCACTTGTTTTCGCCGCCCAGCTTGCTTTGAGTTCCGGTTGTTGTTAATATGAGATGGTCTGGTTTGGTACGGCATGGTGCAATGCAGAATGGTGTCATGTGTTGGATTTGGCATGGTGCAGGCAACCACCGGGGGGGGGGGGGGGTGTTAACTACCTTGCAGGAGTGACATTGCACTGTGCTTCTGCAGCCTGCAGGGTTTCGCATGAGCTACCTGGATACCTGTATCCGCCTCATGTCGGCTAAATAAAGTGTCGTGTGATTCTGACTTGCAGTCGTGAAGAAGGAGGGAATATTTCCATTCCAGCTCGACTTGATGGAGCCGGATCATGGCAAGCTAAATGTGAGTAGCTCCAAAAAACGGCAGCAGGCCAGAATGTAAATCATTAAACCCTAAACCCGAAACCCTAAACCCTAAACCCTCCTAAGCGAATCACCAGCTCCAGGCGACTTGGACACGCAGCTCGTGCTCGACATCTTGACGGTGCGCATTACAGGGCTTTTCAGCGGGATGCGAAGGTAAACTTCAGAGCCAGGATGTTGATTTGGGGGTTTACGAAACTAGGGGGGATCCTTAATATAGATCCGGCTTCCCTCATAAGAAGGACCCCAAGAAGGTACCCCTAATGTCGGCAGGGCCTTACATTCTCTGAGAGGTTATCTTCGTAATGGAGGCGCTGTACTGTTGCTCACCAATGTGCAATGAAACTTGAGCTCCTCTTCTTCCACAGCAAGAACAGCTGGCCTCCATGTGCCCGTTTGTTTTAGATAGCACCCTAAACCCTACTTGGAGGTTCATTGTGGGGTTACAAGTAGGGTTGCCTATCGTCAGAACTGGTTATAGCCTTATTCAGGGTACTTATGACTTATAACCCTACTTCTAATTACCCCTGAACCTCCAAGTAAACCCTGAACCCTCAACCCTAAACCCTCAACCCTAAACCCCAAACCCTAGAACAGGAGAGTGGTCCCGCCGGTGACGCCTGGCACCCGCCCGCACTGGAGGCGGCACGCCTGGCACCTTGCCGGGATGGATGGAACCAGGGCTACTCGCGGCTACTAAACCCAGGGTTTACTGTAGTGTTTAGGGTTTAGGGCTATTATACCCTGTAAGAACCCCTCAAAAAAGGCCGTTATGGGGTTTTTTGTGGCGATTTCTGGCACCCTCAGCAGCAAACCTACTGACTAGGGTTTAGGGTTGAGGATTTGAGGGTTTTCGAAACTAGGGGTACCCTTTGGGGGGGGGGGGGGGCCTTTTAAGGGGATTCTAGTATAAAAGAGGTGCCCCTAGCTTGGGAATGTCATTTAGGGTAGGAAGGCAAGGAAATGTAGAGTCCGAGGTTTGGGTAAAGGGTGCGAAGGCCCAGTTCTCAATGTCGCGAAGCGCTCGGCCAACTGGGCAGTTCTCGAAGTTATAGTCCTTGTTTGGGGTACAATACCCTAAACCTAAACCCTAAACCCCGGACCCCAAACCCCAAACCCCGAACCCATTTTTTAGGGTTCAGGGGTTGCGGTAGGCTCCTTGCCCAACAGGAAGGAATCCCACAAGGGACCCGGTAGAGGGATCTGCAGGAAAAGTTTGCTGCCGCCCGCAAGCCCGTGGAGGAAGCGGCCAGGATCTATGCTCCTGGGACGGGGTTTATACTTGAAGGTTCGTGTGTATTTCTAAGTGGGGCTATGGTGCCCGAGATAAGGTTACAACTAGTTCTAGCTATATGTACCCTACTTCTAACCCTGCTCGGAACCACCCATAAACCTGCAAAGAAGCCTTGACACCTTGGGAGACCGCAAGCCGCACTCTTTCTGTACGTTGCCTCGGAGTCTGATGCCGAGGCTTTACAACCCGAAAGCCCAAACCCTAAGGCCCTAACCCCAAAACCTAAACCCAAACCCTAAGAGTAGGTTTGGGAGTCTCAAGGTAGGGTGGACGGTTTTTTATCAGACAGTCTTGGGGTTTCCCATCTTCGGGTGCTGCATTGGCAAGCTTGGAGGTTCATGGGTAGTTAGAGAAGTGGGACTATAAGTAGGACAACTAGTCATGACGGGTTATAACCTTATTGGGGATACTTTTAATCCTAGTTCTAACTGCCCCTAAACCTTCAAGAAGGGCAGGGTTGTTTCGGATTCAGGGGTTCTTGTATAGATTTTAGGAAATCTCGCCCTAAACCCGAAAACCTAAACCCTAATCCCTAAGCCCGCCCACACGAATAGTACCCCCGCCCATTTTCAACTAGGGCACTTTCCGTACCCCCCCGAACTGACGGCCGCTTGAGGACATCTTTCCCCGACTGGCCTCGGCCTATTTCGTTGGCGGGCTCAAGGCGCTCGATCTGTCAGGTGTCGTTTAGCCATTGCTGTTCGGTTGAGATAGAAACCACTCACCAAAGAGGGCCCTGACCCTAAACCCTAAACCTAAACCCTAAACCCTGTAAGGTCCCACTCTTTTAACCCTAAACCCTAAACCCTAAACCCTAAATCCTGTAAGGTCCCACTCCTTTGAGGCGGGGTTCCAGGTTGTGTTCCTAGGGCTCTTTGGGTCCGAGAGTCTCTCCAACCTCAGACCCCCTGCCCGGAGTTAGGGTTTAGGGTTTAGGGTTTAGGGTTTGGGGTTTAGGGTTTAGGGTTTAGGGTAGAGGGTTTAGGGTTTGGGGTTGGGGGTTTGGGGTTTAGGCAGGGTTTAGGGTTTAGGGAGCCAATACCTCTCGATTAAGGCGCGTGGCCTTAGAATTATACAAGGTGCTTGGTACTGAACCCTGACACCCTGAATTCCCCATAAGTAGAGCTGCGCCTTACAGATTGCGTAGTTAAAGGGGGTTGAGGGTTTATGCCGAAGTGTATAGTAGGAAAGCAGCGTAGTTGGTACTTCGGTTGTTGTCTAAATCAGGGACCCTTTTTGGTCCCTATATGGTACGGCAGCCTTAAAGTAAGAACCCCGAAAAGGGACCCTAATTTAGAGAACTACTCATATACGTAGTAGGAGTATGAATAAGGATTTGCATGCCTACATTCCTATACAGACATGCAAGATTCCCAAGGTACCCCTCCGCTCCCACAGTATTTTCCTTTAAGCCGGTTTAGGGTTCAGGGTTCAGGGTTTAGGGTGGGTTCGGAGGTCGGAGATGGGGGATACTTCGGGTTAGCCTCTCCAAGCTCGAAGTTCCCAACCCTCATCCAGGTAACGCGTGTTTAAACCCTATAAACCCTAAACACTAAACCCCCTACGCCCCTTCCACACCCTAAACCCTCAAAGCATTTTACCCAGGCCCTGCGCCTGCCACGCGCAGAAGCCGTGGCACTCTGCGCGACTGGCCTTTGCAAGTTTGAGACTCAGGGCTTTGGGTTGAGGGTTCAGGGTTTATTTGGGGTTTAGGGTTTAGGGTTTAGGGGAGCATTTATTTAGGTTTGGGATTTAAGGAGTAGAGATTGGGATTAAGAAGTTCCAGGTTGTTTTCAAGCTCTTCCTTCCAGGCTCAGGCATTTGCCGCCCAGCAGGCTAAAGGGCAATTCCGTCAAGCGAGAGGGCCAAGACCCTAGGCCCTAATGCCAGTGACCAGTGTCGGTGGCCTGTGGATCAGCAACCGCGCGACGGGAAACTGCATCAAAGGAGGTGATGCCTCACACAAGAGCAGTGCCACTCATGCAACGAGAGAGAGAGAGAGAGACCTGAAGATGTCGAGGCAGGTAAACCCAAACTCGTTTGCGTGTGCGCTTTGCCTAAAGCCAGGACATGCAAGCAGGGCTGCCGCAAGAAGAAAGGAGAACGCCGCTGTACCAAATAACAGAATAGAAAAAAAACCGAAGGCCCTCGAAAAGCCCGAAGAAACGGATCCGAGGCGGTGGGGGCTCAGCTGCTTACCCTTGAGGCGGGGGTTTTGGGGTTTGCAGGTGTTTTTCTTTGGTTCGGGGTTTAGTCTTCCCAAAGATCGAGTTGTAATAAATGTGAATTCTTCTTTACGGGGATCAGGCAGGGGGGGGGAGAGACTTTGTTTGCAAGTGATCCAAGGACACAGGGCGGAAGTGCAACCCCCAGGAAGCGTGAGCCCCACCCTCAAGGCCAGACCCAACCCACCCCCCTAAAGACCTGCGCCATCGAAGGTTTCCCAACATTCGGGTGGGGTACAGAAGTGAGAGCACCTTATATGGGAAAGTACCCAGAATATTTCAAAAGGACGCCATAGTGACGTTCAACCTGTGATTTCGAAGTGCTAAGACCTGCGCGTTTAGGGCTTAAGATGGAGGGTTTGGGAGTGGTTCCTGTAGCGCTATACTATAAGGCTACAGGAACCACTCCCAAACCCTCCATCTTGATAGCATAATCCTAAACCCTAAACCCTAAACCCTAAACCCTAAACCCTAAACCCTAAACCCTAACCTCAAACCTTTTGACTTGAGCCCACGGCTCCCTAGGCTTTCGGACTTTTGGAGGGTTATAGCAATTATAGAAGCTAACCTCGACATGCTGAGCCTTAAGTCCTACTAGGTTACTAGGGTTTAGGGTTTCAGGGTTCTAGAAAGCGGAGGGCTGCCGTGGATGATGTTTTGTTCCATCTGGCGCCTCCCTTTGAAGTAAGATAGCACGGTCCAAAAAACCCTAGACACTAAGCCCGAAACCCTGGACCCTAGACCCTCGTGTATAAACTCTAAATATGCCCCCAAACCCGAATCCTAGAGCCTAAACCCTACTTATGAATATAGACCCTAAGCCCTAAAGCCTACACCCTATAGCCCTAAAACCAAAGGCCCAAAATCCTAAACCCTACTTCAGAGGGCACGAAGTATCCGTAAACCCTAAACCCTAAACCCTATAACCCTAAACCCTAAACCCTAAACCCTAAACCCCTAAACCCCTAAACCCCTAAACCCCTAAACCCCTAAACCCTAAACCCTAAACCCTAAACCCCGAACCCCTAACCCCTAACCCCTAACCCCTAAACCCTAAACCCTAAACCCTAAACCCTAAACCCTAAACCCTAAACCCTAAAACCCTAAACCCTAAACCCTAAACCCTAAAGCCTAAAACCCTAAACCCTAAACCCTAAACCCTAAACCCTAAACCCTAAACCCTAAACCCCAAACCCCAAACCCCAAACCCCAAACCCCAAACCCCAAACCCCAAACCCCAAACCCCAAACCCCAAACCCCAAACCCCAAACCCCAAACCCCAAACCCTGCCTGCCAGGAGGCGGCTGCGCGCCTGGGCCGAGGGGCGGCCCCCGGGGACCGGGCCAACGACGTGGCGGCGCGGCTGCGGTCTGCGGCGAAGGACAGGTTTTGGGCTTAGCCTTGTGGGTTTTCGGGTTTAGGGTTTAGGGTTTAGGGCTACTAGCCCTATATAAACCCTAGATACCCGAAAGCCTACACCGCCGCAGGGTTTAGGACTCATGGCCCTAAACCCTAAACCAAAACTTGCAAAGTGTTGGGCGTTAGAGGGGTTTAGCTATGTAGGCTTGAGGAATCCGAGGCTCGGGAATTTGCGGGGTTCATTTACAGGGTTTTTGTGTGTTTGGGGATGTTTGAGGGCCTTGTAAACGACAAGGGCGAAGCCCTAAGCGTTCAATCCCAAAGCCCCCTTCACTCCCCCCCCCCTCCCTGGCCATCCGAAAACCCTCAAGACCCTAACCCTCCGCCTTGCCATTCAAGGATTTCCCCACATAGGGGTACCCTGACTAAACCCCAAAGTATCCCGATCCCATTTATAGGAACCCCCAGAAAGGCCTCCTATTTTCGGACCCCCCCCCCCCCCCTTCCCTTTGCAGAAGGAGCTGTCACTTCACATCGGGGCAGTTGATGTCGAGTGCCTGCTGACGGTTGCCCCGAGGGAGCAGGCTTTGCTTGGGGGCGGTTTCGGGAGGGGTTACCGGTGAAACACCGAGGAGGGCACCGATTCCGGAGGGGCGGCAAACGGCACAGGCTACACCCCTGCTTCAAGGTTCATGGGCACTTGAGGTACAATCTTAAGGCAATATCTCGAGCCCATCCAAACACTTTCAGAGATGGGATCGCATTCAAAAAGCCCCTGAAGTTTAGTTAAAGGGGATTACGGCTGCCCTGGCAAGAGTCCATGATTCCATGAGATCGTTTTTGAGTTCCTCGGGGCGGTCTTTATGATGTGTGTATAATTATGCCATGAACAATGTGGTCCGGGGCCGCATCCCGTAAAAGAAGAGTCCACCGACCCGCAAGGTTGGTGTTTAGGGTCTTGGGTCTTGGGTAGACCACATCCCAAGCCCCAAAATGACGCCAGACCCTGAACCTGGCCTGGGACTTTTGTGCCCTAAACCCTAAACCCTAAACCCTAAACCCCAAACCCCAAACCCCAAACCCCAAACCCCAAACCCCAAACCCTAAACCCTAAACCCTAAACCCTAAACCCCCCCTGAGATTTCTGACAGGTTCTGCTCGAGCGCAGCCAGGCTCGGTTGCCATGAGTTCCTGTATCAGTCCTTTTGGTAACCCTTATAGTAATACTATCCCTATCTAGCTTAGGATGCCCAGTAGTACCCTTATTCCCTTTTAGGGGGGTTTAGGTTCCCTTATAAATCCCTTTAAGCAAAAAAAGGGAGATGGCAGTTATGAGGTACTTTGCGCGAAACTCCCTTTCTGAAGCTGTTTTAAGTCGGGCAGTCAGTATATCAAGTTCACGAAGGCACTTTTTTCGACTTTGCAAGTCACACTCGAGCCTGTGCGCTTTGTCCGATCTTCCTGCATCCTGAACTCATAAAAAGCCCAATGCCCGCAAATCTTGGCATATACCTCAACCCCTAAACCCTAAACCCCAAACCCCAAACCCCAAACCCTAAACCCTAAACCCTAAACCCTAAACCCTAAACCCTAAACCCTAAACCGAAGCCCGCAGGCGCACCATGCGGCCCAGGCTTGGCTCCCTTCGCTCGTGGAGCTCTGGGATGGCAAGGAGGCGCCGCCTGTCTAGGGTTTGGGGTTTAGGGTTTAGGGTTTAGGGTTTAGGGTTTAGGGTTTAGGGTTTAGGGTTTAGGGTTTAGGGTTTAGGGTTTAGGGTTTAGTAATTTAGGGTTTGGGGTTTACGGTTTAGGGTTTCGCCTACTTCGCCCATGGTGACCTATAATTACCTATATCTAGGACCCAGAGAAGGCCTTTTAGAGCTTAGGTTCCCCTGAATATTCACTTTTTTGGGTGGTTTAGGGTTTAGGTTTTATTATTCCCTTGTCTTGGGGTTTAGATTCCCTTATAAGAGCCTGCAAACGAAGAAGGGCACCCGATTCATTCCTAGGTTACTGGGGGGTCTAGATAGGGTTAGGGTTTAAGGCTGCTTTTTGTAAAGGGACTTGGTGCTTTTTACAGTTTTTGGTTGTAGGGATTTAGGGTTTCAAGGGTTTAGGGGGGTGTCGGTGTAGGTGTGTGTGTGTGAGAGAGAGAGACAGAGAAAGAGTTCGGGGCTCACCAGAGATCTTCATCCGTCAACACCCAGCTGGGCACCCAAAAGGCCGGTTTTGGAGTTGCAGGGGCCCACGAGACTTTGTTCGCAGCCTGAACCCTAAACCCCCCTAACCCTAAACCCTAGAACCCTAGAACCCTATAACCCTGTAAACCCTAACCCTAAAGCCTAAACTGCCAGCTGTAGTAGGTTTGCATGGAGCTCCCCGAACCTTCTGAGGCCCCGGGGGCGGTTGAGTCGGGCTTTGGGGGGTTTGGGAGTTTCAGGTTTAGGGTTTAGGGTTTAGGGTTTAGGGTCAAGGGTTTAGGGTTTAGGGTTTGGGGTTGGAGCTTGGGCTGTAGGGTTTATGGCTTGGGGCTCAGGGTTTTGGATGAGTTTATTGGTTTGGGAGTTCATGGGTTTAGGAGGTTGAGGGCCCAAGCCTTGCGTGTCAGGTGGCCGGTTTCAGGGCTTTCACGTTTACGGAGTTCGGGGTTTTAGGAGCGGAAGGGTTTAGGAGTTTAGGGTGCTCAGGGTTCAGCATGGGGATATTTGTGGCCTTGAGTTCAGTAGCTTCCCAGGGCTCTCTCCGAAACATCAAAACCCCTAAGCACGATAAGCCCTATAAACCCTAAACCCCAACCTTTGAACCCTGAGCCCCTAACCACCCAATCGACGACTCGAAGTACCAGGTGGCTACAATCACAGGGTTCAGGGTTCGCAGCTTATACTTCGGAGGCAAAGGTTAAAGGCCTCGGTAAATGGAGCCCCGGGGAGGGTCCTGAAGGCAGAAGCCCGAAACCCTACAGGCTCTAAACCTATATATATATATATATACCCCATATCACCCTGTACATATATGTATATACACGTATACATATATATACATATACATACATACATATATATATATATACATGTGTATATATATATATAGATATATTGTCAGTTCTCAAGATGTGGTTATGGTCCTTTTCTGGGTGCCTTAAGTATTCGGGGCCACCTTCTATTGGTAACTATACAAGAGGACCTATTTTGGAGAAATGACTCTATATATATATATATACATATATATATTGCAATATAATACACTGATATTTATACATAGGTATATATACATATATACATCCACCTATACCCCCCCCCCCCCCCCCCCCCCCCCCCCCCCTAGCTGAGAAAGGCTGTGGGTGGAGACCCGACGCTCGTGGAGCTGGCCAACTACGCCATCCATGACCTCAACGTGAGCCCCGGCTCGCCAGGGGATTTAGGGCTTCGACCTCGGGACTCCCTAGGGTTCGGGGTTTAGGGTTTGGGGTTTAGGGTTTAGGGTTTAGGGCTACTTGAAGTTCAGGGGCAGTTCTAGGTAGTGGGAAATAAGGTTATAGCCAATTTTACTTTATAAAGTTGCCAAACTTATAACATGAATCACCAAGTATGGCCCTATACTACTGGGATATTTGCTTGGTTCCTGGGTACGGGCCCTTCCCTGAGGAACCCTTGTATACCCTTTACATACGTTGTAAAATTCCCGGGCCCGTACATACTTCAGAACCCTTTTTAAAGAGGTAAAGGGACCATGTAACTTCCCTGACATATACGCATGAGAGCGGTTGTCAACTCTATTGTGGGCGTTAGGGGCGGGGTGGAAGTTGTTTTCATTCTGGCATACTCATGGCGCGTTTACTGACTTTGAATTTCGGCCCAGCGCAGGGCAGCATCTAAATCTCAAACCAAACCGTGAACCAACTACATGTAAACATATACCATCATAATATATACGTACAATACACAATCATTTATAGTATAAATAAATATGAAAAACACAAGTTTATGTATTTAAGTAATAAAGTAATATCCCGAGCACTACACAATTCCAGTGCTCGATATGCTTCCTATACTGGGGATTTCAGTGGTGCCCTTCTTCTTTAGCTTTCAGGGTGTAAACCCTGCGTCCAAGCCCGACCCCAAACCTGGGGACACCGCCGCGGTCTTGCGAAAGCCCTATAGACCTAAAACCCTGGGATTCAGGGTGTTTAGGGTTTAGGGTTTTTTTTTTAGGGTTTAGGGTTCAGGGTTTAGGGTTTCGGGTTTAGGACCCCAAGGATCCTAGAGGCCCAAAAAGGCACTCACCCTCAACCCTTATCCTAGGACGTCGGGCCGAGGATCCGAACTAAACCTAAGCCCCCTACTTGATGGTTCATGGGTAGCTATAAGTAGGGTTACAAGTACCCTAAGAAGTTTATAACCAGCAAGAAGTATAGCTACCCTACTTACCTATAACCCACTTAAAACTACTCATGAACTTCCAAATGCACCCTACCCGAAGGGTTTGCAAAGAGCTAAACCTTTTTCTTCCTGAAAAGGCAAGAGCCCCATTTCAGCCTGCTGATGAGCGGGGACTTGCGGCGGCAAGTGAGGTTTTGCGAATGAGCGTTCAGGCCTGCTAGCTGTAGGATTTGGGGTCATGGGGGGCGAGGTAGGCTTTGCAACCTTGGTGAGTAAAGCCGTGACCCTCTTTAGCCAACAAAGAGCAGGCCTGGGCTTGAAGGGTTTATTGTTTAGGGGGTGGTTTGGGGTTTAGGGTTTAGGGTTTAGAGACCTGGATTCATGCAGACATGTCTAGGGGCATATTCTCGGTTTCAAGCAGGGCCGGGCATAGTCAGAGAGAGTGCCGAGAGAGCGGGAGGGGTAGGGTTTAGGGTTTAGAGTTTAGGGTTTCAGGTTTAGGGGGTAGGGTTTAGGGATTAGGGTTTGGGGTTTAGGGGAGAGGTTTTAGAAAAGACCTGGACATCAATACCTTCATGGCTCTTCCTACTTGTAGCCCTTGAGGAAAAGCGAATCGAGCTTCGCTTGGCTAAGCGGCGTTTTTGCTGTGACTTGGCTGTCTCTATCTGTGTGAGGTTGTTTTACCCGCGAGCCCGTGAGATCTGCAATTCGCATAGCTATGGACTCTAAAACCACAATCTTCAACCCTTAAAAACCCCCCACAACAAACATCCGCAATCATCAGTAAGAACAATTACACAAGTATTGAAGCCATAAATCCCGAACTCTTAAAACACAAACGCCTCTCAGGATTAGCGTTTAGTTTTTATTATGTGTACATATATACATATAAATAATATGGTTTCTTTTTGTTTTAAGGGGGGGGGGGGTGTTGGTTATAGGGTGTATATATATATATATACATATACATATATGTAGATAGCAGGGCTTGCAGGGATGACGCCGGTCAAATTGAGAGGGTAAAGCTTCCAGGGGTTCTGCAATGCCAGAACGCTACCGAGAGGCTCTTCGGCTCAAGTGGCACGGCGAAACTCCAAACGCCGTGCTGTCCATATCTCGAGGGTTTGTAGGGTTGAACAGGTTTAGCCCCTAATGGCCTTGCGATACTGGCTGGCCCTTTGGGGCTTCAGATGCTGCCAATCAGCGCTGGGCCAGGCGGGGCGCCTTTGTCTTGCTGGGCCTTCGTAGGGATGTAGTTAAAAGGATTTAGGGTTTAGGGTTTAGGGTTTAGGGTATAGTCCAAGGGAATAGGCATGGTCCGCTTAAAGACGGCGCTACTCAGAACCAGTGGCACGGTGTCGGGTTCTCGACCTTTAGAAGCTCTGGGCGTATATCCACAATTTCAGTGGAGAGGTGTTCCCCCCATAACCCCTCTAAACCCTAAACCCTAAACCCTTACGCATATATATAGTCATTCTAGGACTAAAAATGCCGTTGTCCACCCCTTATCGAAGTCAACATGTAAGGCTCCGCCTGGCAACTCTCCTCGAGAAGCTGTCCGAAGCTTAAGTCTAGGCGTGAGGGTTTAGGGTTCCACCTAAACCCTAAATCCTATGCCCTAAACCCTAAACCCTAAGCCCTAAGCCCTAAGCCCTAAACCCTAAACCCTGTTCTTTTTTGAGGCCAACAAATTCTCGGGAACCTGACAGGCGAGCTGCCCAGAAGATGCGACCGCCAGAGATGCGGCCACCAGCATGGTGCAAATGAGCGTCGCCATGCATCCTCGGCTTTCTCAGTAGTACGGTAGTACAGTAGGGTTTGGTAGGGTTTAGGGTTTAGGGTTTAGGGTTCAGGGTTCAGGGTTTAGGGTTTAGGGTTCAGGGTTTAGGGTTAGTAGAGTAGGCAACCTTTCACCTTTTTGTTGGTCCTATATTCTCTTTATCATCTCACAGGTGAACCTTTAGTTCCCCTAGGAGACTCGGCAACTAGGTGGTTTAGGGTTTAGGGTTCAGGGTTCAGGGTTTAGGGTTACCCATTAGGGTTTAGGGTTTAGGGTAGGTGTTTTTTCGTAAGCCTTCTCGAGCTGTGGGCCGATCTTGGAGGTGACTCACTGATATCAAGTGCCCTCATATGGTTAGAAGTACAGCTTATAAGTACTACAATTGGTGAATAAGTACCGTGAACCTCCAAGTAAGGGTATTTGCTTTTCCCTAATTATGGCCCCTTACCCTTCTGAAGTTTGGGCCCTTGGGTTTTCTAGGGTAGATGAAGGGGTACATACGGGGGACCCCTTCTAAGGGCCACCTCAAGGGTTAGGGTTTAGGGTTTAGGGTTTAGGGTTTAGGGTTTAGGGTTTAGGGCTTAGGGTTTAGGGTTTAGGGTTTAGCTCCATGACCCAAGTCCGGGTTCGATCGCAGTTGCTCGAAGATGTGTGTTGTTTTTTGTCACTGTTTTTGAGGTTGCGTTTCAGGGCTTAGTAACTTTGGAACCCTAAACCCTAAACTTCAGAATTGAAGACTGTTTCCGCTTTGCCGGTATCGGGTGCAGGGTGCTTAGGGATCGAGGGCTTATAGGAAGCCTCCACTCTTTCAACCCTGAGAGAGAGTCCTCGTCTTGTGTTATAGACCCTGAAGCCCTCAACCCCTCAACCCATACTTGGAGGTTCATGGGCAGTTATAAGTGGGGTTAGAAGTAGGGCAACGAGAGTCATGACTGGTTATAGCCTTCCTCAGGATACTTAGAACCCTACTTATTTCTACCCATGAACCTTCAAGCAGCCCTAAACCCTAAACCCTGAACCCTAAACCCTAAACCCTAAACCCTAAACCCTAAACCCTAAACCCTAAACCCTAAGCCCTAAACCCTAAACCCTAAACCCTGAACCCTAAACCCTAAACCCTAAACCCTAAACCCGACCCTAAACCCTAAACCCTAAATCCTAAACCCTAAACCCTAAACCCTAAACCCCAAACCCCCCACTCCGAGGCAGAGGAAGAAGGTGCTCAAGGTGGGCCCTTCGGGCTACTGGTATCCCAGCCGTGGGGTGAACGACGCTTGGCCTTACGTTCTTTTCTGAGTGGCACCAGAGAAGGGCCTACTTGGTGTAGGGTTTAGGGTTTAGGGCTAGGGTTTAGGGTACTGGTTTGGGGTTTAGGGCTAGGGTTTAGGGTTTAGGGTTCGGGGTTTAGGGCTACTTGAAGGCTCATGGGTAGGCTTATGCGTACCCTTTACAAGGATATAACCAGGGCATGGGTTCAGGCTCGGTTGGGGACGACAGGATTCACAGCATGTCGACTGGCTTCTGGACGTGGTGTTTTTCGAAGCTCTGAACACACGCCGTAAAGCAACCCATGAGCCTTCAAGTAGCCCTAAACCCTGAACCTTAAACCCTAAACCCTATAGCAGGACCCAGAACCCTAACCCTAAACCCAGAAGCTGACATTGACGGGCTCAGAAAAGCCAATTGCCGTTCTCACGGCGGAGTTGTTTTTACATTCGATCCCTCAACCGCACAACCTGAAAGCTGATAAACATGAGCCCCAAACCCTACTAAACCTTCATAAACACATGTTACACTAAACCCTACTAAACCTTCATAAGCAATTGTGATACTAACAAGCAAGCTTAACAAGGTTCAAATAGTAAATCCTGCTAAACCTTCATAATCAAATATTTTGGTAATAACAAAGCTGTAAAAGGTTTCAAAACACCCTAAACCCTAAACCCTAAACCCTAAACCCTAAACCCTAAAAAAAAACAAGGACAACAGGTCTGGCTGGTCGGCAGCCTACGGGCCCTGGCCTGTCCGCAGCCCAAGCTGGCAGTACGAGGATCTTCGTAGTCCAGTGGTAACCCTTTTAGGGTTTAGGGTTTAGGGTTTAGGGCTTAGGTTTTTTGTGTTGTTGGTTCCAGGTGACCTGACAAGTTAAACAACATAAATCAGAGTTCAGGGATTTAGGGTTATAACATGGTTTAGGGTTTATATATATATATGTATATATATATATATATATATATCTAGGGTCTGTTGCTGGGCTACCAAGAGGTTCCTGGCCTCAATTTTCACCAGACGCCGTGTATTGATGACCAGATGAATGTCTACTCGGGCAGCGATCAGGGGACGCTCCTCTCCTTTACGCGAGATGGCACGAAGCGCTGGGAAAAGAATTTTGGTACGACGGGCTGCCAGAACCCAGCGCTCTACGACGATCTTCTCTACACCACCTGTGCAAGCGGTGAAGTCCTGGCGCTGAAGATGGCTACAGGAGAGAAGGCCAGGCCTAATATTGGGGTCGGGATAGTTACTAATGGTGTTCCCTTATGGCCCCTTTTTCTGAATATACTATAAGGACCCCCAAAGCCCTATTCTAAAGATGAAGAGACATGCTGAGATGGAGTCTGTACTGCAGCCATTGGGGTCACTCTAGAAATCAGGGCCCCTTAAGCCGCCTCTTAGAAATTGGGAGCCTTATTATTGAAGGCCCCCCAAAAAATAAAAATAGAATAAACAACAATAATAATAAATACATTAACGGAAAATTATAATAAATAAATACATAAATATTAAGAATAAATAAATAAGATAAATAAAACATAAAAAGTCCCGGGCCTGAATCTAGAATCACACCCAAACCAGCCAGGGCACCCAGAGAAACCACTTTGGAGGTTCATGGGTAGCTATACGAGGATGCCCAGTAGTACCCTTATTCCCTTTTTGGGGGGTTTAGGTTCCCTTATAAACCCCTTTATGCAAAAAAGGGCACCCTTTTTAAGCCTTGGTTACTGGGCAGCCTAGTATATGTGGGGTCATAAGCACGGCAACCACAGTTATCACTGGTTATAACCTTATGTAGGATACTTCTAACCCTAGTTATAAGTACCCATGCACCTTCAGGTAGCCCTAAACCCTAAACCCTAAACCCTAAACCCTAAACCCTAAGCCCTAAGCCCTAAGCCCTAAGCCCTACACTTTAAACCCTAAACCCTACACTTTAAACCCTAAACCCTAAACCCTGAAGGTGTGGTCTCGGAAGATCGCCGAGCAGCATTCAACAGACACGTACACCGTCAGCGCGACAAAGGACCACCTGATCGTGCCGATGGCCGAGCCCCGTCTCAAACAACATAATCAGAGTTTAAGGGTTCAGGGTTTAGGGTTCAGGGTTTAGGGTTATAATATGGTTTAGGGTTCGAATATGGGTCTCTTGCTGGGCGAGTGGTTTGGGGATTTGGTGGTCTCAGCCAAAAGGAACCTAAACCCTAAACCCTAAACTCCACACCTCGTTTTGTTGTAGGTCGCTTAGAAGTGTCTTACATGGGGCTTCAAAGCACAAAGAGCCTGCAAGAAACATGGCTGGGGCTCTTCGGGATGGAGTTGGGGTTCCGGGGTGGTTCCCCAATGGCATGTTTGGGGTTTGGGATTTAGGGTTTAGGGCTTGGGGTTTGGGATTTAGGGTTTAGGGTTTAGGGTGCTCGTATTCTTCCACGTTAACCTAAAGAATTGTTACACGCTGGCAAGGCCCCTTTCTTGTCACACGCCCACTTGCAGAACTCGAAGCTTGCGTTCTGGAGCACGACACCCTCCAAGCACGCCGTACGGTAAACCTGAACAGGGTTTAGGGAGTATTGGCATAGGGGCTTAGGGAT